TCAAACCTTGAACCCTTGAACTGCAAGGCAGTCATCCAAAGCATGAGACCAACTCCCATTTTTTCTGGTTTGTTTGTAAGAAAAAAATAAATAAAATCACACTTGGACCTTGTGCGGGCTCGTCCATGGTGAAGGCTTTGTTCTCAATGTTGCCGGCAAAGACGTTGCGAGAGTTCTGCTCCTTGAGGATGTTCTCGTAGCTGACGCCAGAGCCCGAGTAAGCGTCCTCCCCAAAGACGAGGTCACCGTCTCCGTCCCCGGCCGAGGAGCACACTTGAGGGATGGTGACAAGCGCCAGGAAGACCCAACCGTTGGTCACCAGGGCGACGGCCAGCGTGGGGTCGTCCCACCGAGGCCCGCCGCCGCCCTGGGCTCGATTCCCGTGGACGTACATGGCGATCCACGCCGCCCAGATCCCAGCGGAGAGGAGGGTGCACGCCAGGATGAGGGCGCCTTCCCTCTTCCACTGCTTGTGTTTTCCCGCCATGACGCCCAGGCCTGCGCCCAGGGCGGAGACGAGGAGCGCCATCACGTAGATCAGCGCCATGGCGAAATCGGCGTTAGCGATGTTGCAGGGCACAGCCGCAGCCACGTCGCCATCGACCGCGGAGTTGTCCAGCCCCAGCGGGTGGCGCACCACCGTGATGATCAGCCACTCGGTGTTGATGAGCACCTCCACCGACCACAGAGCCAACGCGGCGAGGCACGAGCTCCCCGCCCGCGGGGCGCGGTTGGTCCTGGCGAGGGCATTGAGCCGTACGGCTTGAACCAGGAGGCACGAGAAACAGCCGGCGAAGAGAACGCCGAACAGGAAGCGGCGCGACGCGCAGGTGGAAAAGTTCTTCCCCACGATGAAGGCAAAGGTCAGGCCGAAGAGGCCGGACGCGCACACCAGGAAGATGGCGTGCAGGCCCACCGCGTTCCTGCGGTTGCGGTCCCTCATGAAGGGCACGTTGGCGAGCAGCACCATGAACAGAACCAGGCTGACGACCGCGCCGGCCGACGCCAAGGCCTCCAGAAC